TCAGAATATTTTGATCGGATATTGGAGTTGTCACTGGCATCCAAAGCAAGAATCATATCCCCTCGACCAACGTGCCACACTTTTTATTGTAGAATAACAACATTTTCAGCTACCATTCATATTCCACAGCATACCAGGATTCCTTCAGTGCTCCTATGTGGCCACATGCACCTCTGCTGACTTCCACCAATAATTAGACAATATCTTCAGTTGCAGTTCTAAATGACTCACTTTGGACTTACTGGAGAACTAAAAGAAATAAAATACATTATATGGTATAGTTGTCCGCTGTGGCATGTGTATATTAACCTATCCATAATAACGTAGTCACAAATTGAGCATTGCAGAGCAGTAGCAGGCATGACGCTTTTATTCTGAAAAACTCCTACTGGACATGTTGTTGTTCCGGGAGAAACACAAAGAGCAACGGCGGACACACAATTCAAGACACCTCTCTGCATAGCTGTAGGCACACTTAACTGCTGTTAGTTCAAACGCTTGTGTGGTTTATTCTTTATTAAATTGTGTAATAATGATGCCACTGTCCTCTGAAAGCTAATCTTGTTAGCCTGCTGCCTGGTTAGCTTAAACTCCAGCATCGAGCTGATTGAACATCTTTGACTATGAATTGGAGCTAACACTGTTGAGCTAACTGTAGCTGCTGCAGGGTGGATTGAACTGTACTGAAAAGTGTTTGAGTTGTTGTGTACAGCTTCTGTTGTGTTTAATTTAACATTTCAGGTCATTGTAGCTCCCCTTCTGAAGTGTTATTAAAGGGTATGTTGAGCCTGAAGTCAGAGTTGTGGTGTTATTTAACCTATTAGATCACCATGGTTACTGATGCTGCACAGCCAACCTGATCTGCATGTTCTGTTCAGAGTTTGGGATGTAAAGTGGCATTAAACACAGCCGTGCACTGTGTCGTGAAGGGGGACCTACATGTATTCAGTTGCTGATGCAGAAAATGTATAAATACATGTTTACGCTTGATCCTCATCTGCTGGTCAGTCTGTTTTACACTGCTAATATAACAGCTAGTGCACAAAACACAGAATGCAAAAAAATGTTTAGTGGAAAAACTGGTATTCATTTCAGAGAATATTTCATCAACAACATTTCACTTTGTTTTGGCCAAAAACTCAACGTATTGTGTTGCATTGTCACATCTTCATGCTCTTCTTCAATATAAAATTTAAATATATAAAGTTTGAGAGCTTTGAGGGCTTTAATTTAGTGCAGCTACATTAGCACACGATTGTTTGTTGCTGTTTTAAATAACATTTTAACTTCTGGTATTTCATATTATCCCTTTCTGCTTCGATTAACAGAGCGAGGAGGACACGTGTCGCCAGCCGTCTCCCCCCTGTACATTCTGCACTTCATTTGGCAAAACAGGAGACCACATCACATGAGGAACATCTTCAGCTTCGTCCTTAATACATCCCAGCTCCCGAGGCAGCTGCTCAGTTGTTAACGTGGTTGTCTGTTGGCTTTCAAAGAGACAGTCTGCACCTCCACCTCCAGCATGAGTGAGTTGTCAGACTTTAAAAGAGGCCAAATTGTCGGTGCCCAGGTTGCGGGTCTGTCTGTGAGGAAAACCGCCCAGTTATATGACGTATCGAGTCGGACTGTGGTCAAAGTCATGAGCGCTTACAACAAAGATGGATTCACTGCAGCGGCACAGAAAAGCAAAAGACAGAAGCCACGGGCGAAAAGGAAAAGACTGAACAACACTGTTGCTAATGGAGAGGCTGCCAGTGATCGACCAGTATCTGACTGTGACACTAAAGCACTAAACTCTGATGAACGTAAAGGAAAACCTGAGTCCCAGACTGCAGACGAGCAGTGACTTGGTGTGATGGGCTGTATTTCACATATTGTTTGCGTAAAGCCACAGGATGCCATCATTTAATCCAAACTATGCTAATTTTTAACATTGTCATGTTTTAGCTTTAATCATTGTTTTGAAAGGCTTGAAAATGGATGTGGGAGCATGATCTTTTCTGTCAGCTGAGGACATTTCCAGGGTTTTCCCAAGCTTTCCTGAATATGTTCCACCAACTTTATGTCAAGTTAAACCGGTGGCACATTGGTAAAATTACACTAAACTGTGTTTTTCCTGCTTAGAGGAACTTTTGGTGCCACCCAAAGATATTTTACCGACCCCAAAGGAAGGTCTTAAGCGCCAGCAATGATGAGAATTGAGAATTCCAAGTGCAATTCGGTTTTCTAACCAGTTTTGTTAATTATGACATACTTAGGCGTCAAGTAAGCCAATTTTTATTTAGCAAATGGTCAGAAATAACAGAGAAATGCATCAATTTCTGGCCTTTACTGTCCCTGAACCAATCATGGGTATCGTCATCGCAAAGGTTCATTCTGACCACGTAGAAACCCTGATGATGGTAGATTTTTCTTCAATCAAGCTTCACCATTACAGCATGCACAGACAATAAAAACAAAAGAAATCTATAAGGGTTTTTTTTGTTTTTTTTTCAATAAATACATCAATAGTGAGAGTGTAAATCAAACAAGCTGTGAGTTTTTCCCTCATGTGCTCGCATTGAACAGTGTCTTAAGCTCATGGTTGCATGCTGGTGATATTCCACTGGTCATATCACATAAACTGGTCCATGTACCACTTTATGTTTATGGATTTCTGAATAATGTGACTTTTTGTTACGTTTCGAAGGAGTTCAAATGGAAAAAATAAAAAAAATGTGAAGACAGTGGACCTGTTGTTAATTCAAAGCTATTAAAATGTGATTTATTTTATTGGTTTGTGTGTTTGTGGAGCAGTATTACTGATGCATCTGCAACAACATCAACAAGAGGAAGTATTGGGATGTGGGATTACTGCTCTGACCTCCTGTAGACACTTCAATGAGCAGAGAGAAATGACCTTCACAAGCAGCAGCAGATCAAGAACTGGGCTGCTGACTGCTTCAGAAAGAAGTTTTAATGGTTTCATAACTGGTATCACTTCATAAATGTACAATAATCAGTAATTTGAGTTCCTCGCAGTAATTTTTTGTGTTGAGTTGACACTACTTAGCCGACGTCTCCCCTGTTGCATCAAGCAGACAAACGATCTCTACATAAACACTGTACCTCAGAAGACCCCTGAAGTTTGCAGATGACATGATGGTCATTGGTCTCGTCCAGGACGGTGATGAGTCTGCATGCAGGCGGGAAGTTGAGCAGCTGCTCCTTTGCTGTCGTCACAACAGCCATGCGCAGATATATGAAGATAAAAGTGGACTTCAGCGAACTGTTTACTGTGGGGTTTCTGGGTTCCACAATCTCTCTGGATTTGAAGTGAACACTCAACAAAGAAACAATGAACAGAAAGGCCCAGCTCAGAAAATACAACCTGCTGCAGAGGCTGCTGATCCAGGCTGTTTGCTGCACTCCACATCACTTACTGTCTGCTTTGAATCACCAAAAAAGGCAGTAACAGATGCAGTTCTGACTGTCTTCTGTAGAGAAAACGACCAGGGCTGACCTCCCTTCCATCCCTGACTTATGCACGTTTAGAGTTTAAAAAAATAAAAATAAAAAACTGAAGGTAGCACCACAGCAGACCAATTACAGCCTGGACACAACCTCTTTCAATATCTGCTCTGGTACTGAGCATCAGAACAACCAGACACAGACACAGTTTTTTCCAACTGAAGAAATTAATGAATCTTTAAATCTGTCTAGAAATACAGACAACTCATCTACCTACACTCGTGTGTGTGTGTGTGTGTGTATTCTATATTATATTATATATTCTATATAAGTACTTTGAGAGCACAAAAAAAATAATGATATTGAGTGAATTTCATTGTGTATTCACGTCTAACTGATTTATTTTGAAAATCTGTAACCGGAAGTAGTACTCTTCTTCGTGCTTAATTGAGAAGCTGCAGCTCGGACGCTCAGCAGCAGTCAACAAGCTGAAGACGTTGTACAGTTTTAGCTGTAAGTACAACACAGTGCAGTCAGTGTACACGCCACCGTGTTCACTTTGTCATTTTATTGAATTCCAATAAAAAGCGTCACCATGTAGACACGTTGTGTTTGATGGAGGCTAATCCAGCAGCTTGCTACCTGCCTAGCTTCAATAAGGGTTCAACGGCACACTGTCGTAAATGACCGTCAACTTGACTGTAAACTGAAATAAAACAACTTAGTTTTCTGTAAATGAAGAGCAAATTGAACTGAAATGTAAAGTGTTTTGTTTCGTTCAACTCCTGTAGCTGTGAGTCTCAGGTCATGTTAGCTGCTGCTTTGATGTGTTCAATTCAGAATATTAGAGTTGTCACAATTGAAGCCGTTAATTGCTAAATTAATCGCTTTAAATGTCTTTAAAAGAAAAAAAAAATCGGAAGTCACAGATTCCAGCTTCTGAAATTAAAGCTGACATGTTTCTTTACGCCTCTGTGACAGTAAACTAATTAATTTGTGACATTTGAGGACATGATGTTGGGCTGTGATGAACATTTTTCACCATTATCTGACATTTTATAGGCTAAACAACCAACCGATCGACTGATTAGTCAGCAATAAAAAGAATAGTTAGTTACACGCTAATCAGCATACGATCAAGTGTACCAGCTGTTTTTATAAATATGAAGAAATGAGCATTTCTGGTGTCTTTTGTCATTGTTTTCTCCATGTGTTTCTAGACTGGTGAGGACACAGAGCATCACGACAGCTTCTCCGCAGTTAACCTTCCACTGCTCAGGATGCTGCTTGGGAACAGAAAATAATGGAAACACCGTATAACAGAGGACTCTGGAGCACCTGAGCAGCAGTGACAGAGGCTGCTGCTCACCTTTCATTTGGGATTGTCTGTCGGCTCCAAAAGAGATAACGAACACCTGAGCGGAGGTGTTCAAAGCAGCATGAGTGACTTAACAGAGTTTGAAAGATGCCAGATAGTTGCTGCACGCCTGTCAGGTGCATCTGTCACAAAAACTGCACAGCTGTTCAACGTGGCGAGGGGAACGGTCTCCAGAGTCATGACTGTGTACATCAAGCATGGACGAACGGCATCAGCCAAGAAGAACAGCGGGCGCAAGTCCAAGCTGACCGAGAAGGACAGACAGACACTTCTGAGGATAGTTGATGAACATCCCGAGTACACAGCCTCTAAAATAACCACGGAGTTGAACAGACACCTCTCTCACACCGTCTCGGTAAAGACTATACGGCGTGAGCTTCACAAAGCTGGTATTTTTAGAGGAGGAGCCAGTCGGAAACCAGAGACAGAAACTGATACGCAGAAGCCAGACGGAAACAACACTGAATCTGAGAAAGAGTGTGAAGCACAAAACTGTGAAGAGCACGCAAGACCTGAAGTGCAAACGAGTGCCAAAGAGAGTTGGACAAAAAGGCCTGTGGGAGACAACACAGCATCTGAACCTCAGGCTTGTGTCCAACAAGGATACAACACAGGACAGTCAGGAGAGACAATACAATCCGAACCTCAAGTCGGTGAAGAACGGTATAACACACACAGGTCTGGTGAAGAGGAGACAATACTCGAATCCCAGACGAGTGAAAAACATCACAGCTTACAAAAGTATCACAACGACATTAAAGAACCTGAATTTCAGACTAATTAAACGGACTGATATTGTCTTTTGTGTTGTATTTCAGCCTTTCTAATACATCCAGATGGGTCATGTTAAGAGAAACCACAGATTGCCTTCACCCCTTAATGTCACCTCGCTGTGTTATTTATTTTGTATGACAGCAGCGACATGTAACATTCAGTCTATTTCGTTTTTCTTGGTTTAAAAGCAGACTTTCTATCTACATGTTTGAGAATTAATCTAAATGGATAAAAGCATCCATGCTGAAGAAATGTAATAGTATGTTGTGATGTGAAATTATCAGTTCACTACACATAGTGGATTTCAAAATTCACAGTTTGCTTTCATTTCTCGACCGATGCCAGGCTGCAGTTATGTGAGCGATTGTGCACCATATCTGATTGTTTGTGTTGTACTGTAAAGCATGGCCTTTTTGAGTTTGTACGTATCAATAAAAAACTGGATTGTGTGAAACGAAGCCCGAACTAGAATTCCTGGAAAACATACAGTACTTTCTCTACTGGGTCAAAAATTCTGCAAAATCTGTCTACCACAAGATGTTATACAGGATACAGGACGTGGTGACTAAAAGTTCTTCAAATGCTCCG